CGTGCGGTGACCAAAAAATGGTGAAACAGGTTTCCCGCCTATGGCATAAACTGCACGTGCATGTTAGCTGTATAAATGCATTCGTCTGCAGGGTATAACCACTCGTGATGAAAGCACATAAAAGAAATGCCACGACTGTCACAGGAGCAGAGAGAGAGAGAGAGAGAGAGAGAGACATCGGTATGGCCGAAATAGGGGCAACACAGGTCCAAATTGCCAGAAGGTTTGGTTGTACACCATTGACAGTAGCCAGGCTGATTCAACGGTACAGGCAGACAGGGAGGACACAGGACAGGCCTGACCCCGAGTGACAACACCACTGGAAGACGGTCAGATACGGCTCATTCACCTGCGAAACAGATTCGTAACGGCGACGGCGACGGCAGCAACAGCGTTGGGACATCCCATTAGCCAACGTACAGTGCTACGACGACTCGTGCTGCTGGAATCCGAGCGTATCGTCCTTTCCGAGGAATGGTACTGACTGCTCAACATCGACGCCTGAGACTGCGATGGGCGAGGCAGGTTCGACGCTGGCAAGTGAGAAATTGGCGTCGAGTGCTGTTAACTGATCAAAGTCGGTTTAAAGTGTTTCGAAATTACGGCAGAGAACGGATTTATCGACGCAGAGGGGAACGTTTGGCTCCGGCGTGTATTCGAGAGGTCCATCCATTCGGCGGGGGAGGTGTCATGGTGTGGGGCGGTATTTGTGGAGATCAGAAGACTGATTTGTGATTATACAGGGAAACCTGAGCGCTGTGCAGTACAGAGACCAAGTGTTGCAGCCAGTTGTGCTTCCGTTCTTACAAAACCAACATTGTTTCAACACGACAATGCAAGGCCCCATACTGCAAGATTGACTTTCTAAACCAGCAGAACGTTGACGTTTTGCCCTGGCCTGCCCACTCGCCCGATATGAATCCTATTGAACATCTGTGGGACCATCTTGACAGACAGATTAGATCACGCCATCAGCCTCCCGTCAACAGACAAGGATTACAGAAGGCCCTGAGAGACAAGTGGCAACGGATTCCAGTCCACGTCATCAGAAGACTGACCTCATCAATGAGGCTGCGTATCACAGCATTCATTGAGGCAGCTGGAGGTCATACACGCTATAGAAGGCAACTGTGTCGACAATGAACTTGTAGTGTGTCTGACAATTATTTGGTGACATTTCAGACACCTTTTGAAAATGAAATTTTCACGGCGTGTCAGCTCAATGTGGGAGGAAAGCCCGAAGTGATGCAGGTGTCAGACGTTTACCACTTCGGTGAAACCCACGAACACGGGCATGGTGCTGACAAACCTAGAAACATAATCGGGGCGAACCGGGATTCGAACCCACAATCATAGGTTTCTGGCGTGCCCAGGGGACGCAACTCTGCACAGCGAATCGCGGCGCCTTAGACGACTGGGCCACCCGTGCCCCCTATTTACCTTGAGCCTACATTACCCGTGATTGCACAATTTCATTCAAACTGTGGTTGATCAATCATTTGTTACCCCTGCCTAGATTATATAATAATTCACAACAAAACCTCTTCTTATTTTTTTTTATCGATCATGGAACTCGACCTATACTTTCTTTTGCCGCCCAGTTTAGTATTCAATTAATTGATGGACAGTGGAATGGACTTTTTGAAAGCCCGACTGGTATTTATATAACAATTTATTGTCATGAAAATGGTTATAAAGATGCTTAAATACAACTCTCTCAAACACTTTACCAATACAACTAATGAGTGATATTGGTCTGGAATTTGTCACAACTGAATGGTCGCCTTTCTTATACAATTGCACAACATGCGCTCTTTTCATTTCTGTTGGATATGTATTGAAAGCCACTGAATGATTGAACAATAAACATTAAACAATACTAATGCTGTTATAGGTTATGTCTTATTCTGTCTGGACCAGATGCCTTAATAATTTGAAGACATTTTACAACGTCACATATACTGAACCAAATTAAAAACTTCATAATCCTAAAATTTTAACATTTTGACCAGTTATCATTGTGGGCCCTTATTGTGTATTTAAACAGTAATGGCCACGTATTGTCTTCAGATAACACCCGTTTTTGTGCAGGTGAATCAATCAAAATCATGTGCACAGCAGTATAGTGGCAAAAGTGGTTTTTCACGTGCAACTGGTCACGTGGCCATAATACCGCACGTATTTTCAGCCATACTTGTTAGCAGTCATTAACAAAAAAAGAAAAACACAAGAAAACAAAAGTCTTTACGGCCACTTGTCATGCCACGCCTTTCAAATGTGCAACGTGAACGTGCCATCTGCATGTTGCAGGCGGGAACGTCCGTAGCTGAAGTCGCAAGGATGATGGGTTGTAGTCGACGGACTGTTTATGATTTACAGACGCGTCTACAGCAAACGGGTACCACCGCTGATCGCCCTCGGCCAGGTCGACCACGTGTGACGTCACATGCAAAGGATCGTCAGATTGTCTTATGTCACCTCCGTAACCAATGTTTGACGGCAACATCAACCAGAAATGAACTGTTTAGGGGTAGACTGAGTGCGCAAACTGTTCGAAACCGTCTCAGAACTGCTCACCTTCAAGCACGACGGCCATACTGCGGGCCGATTCTGACTCAATTGCACAGACGTCAACGTCAATTGTGGGCACAGCGAAACTTACGATGGACTCAGAGGAATTGGAATCAAGTCGTCTTCAGTGATGATACCCGATCTAATCTTCGATTTGCTGATGGTAGGGCGAGGGTGTGAGGCGCCGTCATGAACGTTACGCCCAGTGTTGTGTACAGGAAGTTGACAGATTTCGAGGCGGAAGTGTCATGGTGTGGGGTGCTTTCTGTGGCAATGCACGTTCCAGGCTTCTTGTCATCCGTGGCAACCTCAACACTGCTCCTTACCGCGACCAGGTACTGGCACCAGAACTTCTGCCTTTTATGGCAGCACATGGACCCGGTTTGATCTTCCAACACGACAATGCCAGACCCCACACAGCAATTTTGACAAGGAATTTTCTTTCAGAATGCGGGAGTCAACGTCATGGACTGGCCGTCAAGGTCTCTCGACCTCAATCCCATCGAACACGTCTGGAATGCTCTTGGCAGAAGTCTGCGCACTCTCCAGAACCAGCCACAGAATTTGCAAGGTCTTGGCACCTAAATCTCTGCATTTCCACCAGGAGGTATGTGCATCCCAAGTGATCTTGTATCGCCGACCTTCCCTGCAGGAGCTGGCGTTGACAACGATGGAGAGACCATCTTGGTCCTAGAATATGCCAGCGCTAAACTACTGGCGTAATCAGTTCCAAAATCTACGTGACCTTAAACAAGACACAACTAGTGACTTGTAAACGTGAAATGCAGATACAGATTAACCAGTGTGACAATAATGTGCTATATAAAAGTCACAAGAAAACAAATCAGCTGGCATACACAGGAAAGAAGTCAGGTCTCCGCCTTGTGCATGCGCAGGAGACTCAGGCAGCAAAGAAGTTGGGTTTGCAAGCCACTGTGAACAGTATTTCAGTTATACCAGGACGTGTCAGTTTATTGTTGAAGGAAAACCAACAGCGAAGGTAGTTGCAGGTGTTTACCGCCAAACTTCAAAATACACTTACATGGTACCAAGGAACCGACGGAAGCGGCTGTTGGCAGTGGGAACATGAGCAATGCTAACAGCAAATGGTTACAACGGTTTTAGAAATATTCAAGTGATGGTCAATTTAAGCAAAGAAACCCACTACTAGCAGCTAAGCCATTTATCTACACGTCGTCAGAATATTAAAAAAATGGATGTAAGTTGTCATATACCTTTTTGTGAAAGGGAGGCACAAACGAATAATCAGTTCTTATCTTTGTGTGGAAAGACATACGAGTATCAACGATTCTATAGTATTTACAACTGAATTCAAATACTATTGCAATTGACTGTGTCTGAAGACGGGCCGGCATGTCCACAAAGCAGTATAGTATTGACTGAAGCTACAATATTCAAAACAGTTATTTCCCGCAGCAAAGTCAAACTGTACGGTAACTTGGGGAAAGAAAACTTGTCAACATTGAAAATACTGCTTGCCAGGCCACCATTGAGGACACCGTTGCGACCAATGGTATGAAAAGAGACATGCATACATGTGACTGTCTGTGCTGTTTTTTTATATATACAATTTACAATTAAGTAGGAAGCATTTCTATTTTTTATGTCCTGTTGATATAATCCATTAAACTCTGTACATGATCACATTTGTTATAACTGTTGTGGAAAGGCCTTGTCATGGGGTGAGGTGATGCCAGGTGAAATGGGGTGTATTATTGCACTTACATAGCCAGGTGTATGTGTGTGGCTGCTTGTGCTGGTCACGACTAATGCTGATTTTACCTGAGATACCATGCTGCAGTTTAACATGAATACCCCACTTAGAGCATACTGACCAGTCCTTGTTTTAGCCCCTTAATGTCAAGCGCTATGCAGGATGACAAGAAGTACCATCTTTTAACGTCTTTTGGCATGACCTGGCCGGGGATTGAACCCCCGACCTTCTGCTGTCTGGGCAGACGCTCTACCACTAGACCATTGAGGCGGTCCTGTTGAACAAACATGGATGACTATCCTTATCACAGTTTATTACGTGCGAGGAGGACAAGAATTTACGTTTTACACACAATTATTTGGCGAGGGATACAATCAACTAATGTATGATGTCAGTAATCACATTTGAGCAATTTCTGTGTACATGTAGTATGATTCAACGCATGTTCATGGAGTATTGAGAGTTTTCTTATCAAATTATTTTCCCAATATTAGTCAGCTTATGGTGCCTGAAAAACCAAAAGACATCTAGCACCTTGGCAAAGCCCTATGGGCACAACACGGTTGGTTGTGCGTCAGTCTTCACCTGAAACAAGGATCATTGCTCATATGACTGGTCTGTCTGGTCCAGTCTCAGTCATATCTCAGTTTATATATTTTAGTGCCATGATGGACAGCAGACAAAACACAAAGCATCCAATAATCATGTTTTATTTACAAAATACAATTTACATGATACATGTTATTTACAAGATTTTCTGTATACTCTCTTCAGCACACCACATAAACATCTCACGACACAAGAGGTGGCCATTTTAACTTGACCGTTTGATGCAGTGACTCAGGTAGCCAGTCTAGGTAGGCCTTCAATAGATCTGAAACATTCCACGTGAATACACCCATCAACAAGTGAGCATCACAGCACCTTGTATGCATGTGTACATATAGTTGTATAGGTCTATGGCAGTAGGTCTATAGTTGTATAGGTCTATAGTTGTACAGGTCTATAATTCTATAGGTCTATAGTTGCATAGGCCTATAGTTTTATAGGTCTATAGTTGCATAGGTCTATAGGTCTATAGTTGTATCAGTCTATGGCTGTACAGTTGTACAGGTCTACAGTTGTACAGGTCTATAATTGTATAGGTCTATAGTTGTACAGGTCTACAGTTGTACAGGTCTATAGTTGTATAGGTTTATAGTTGTATAGGTCTATATGTGTACAGGTCTATATGTGTACAGGTCTACAGTTGTACAGGTCTACAGTTGTACAGGTCTATAGTTGTATGGGTCTATAGTTGTACAGGTCTATAGTTGTACAGGTCTACAGTTGTACAGGTCTACAGTTGTACAGATCTATAGTTGTATGGGTCTATAGTTGTACAGGTCTATAGTTGTATAGGTCTACAGGTGTATAGGTCTATAGTTTTGCAGGTCTATAGTTGTATAGGTCTATAGTTGTATAGGTCTATAGTTGTACAGGTCTACAGTTGTACAGGTCTACAGTTGTACAGGTCTACAGTTGTATAGGTCTATAGTTGTACAGGTCTATAGTTGTACAGGTCTACAGTTGTACAGGTCTACAGTTGTACAGGTCTATAGTTGTATAGGTCTATAGTTGCATAGGTCTACAGTTGTACAGGTCATTAGTTGTACAGGTCTATAGTTGTATAGGTCTATAGTTGTATAGGTCTATAGTTGTACAGGTCTATAGTTGTATAGGTCTATAGTTGCATAGGTCTATAGTTGTATAGGTCTATAGTTGCATAGGTCTATAGTTGTATAGGTCTATAGTTGTATAGGTCTAAAGGTCTACAGTTGTACAGGTCTATAGTTGTACAGGTCTATAGTTGTACAGGTCTATAGTTGTATAGGTCTATAGTTGTACATGTCTACAGTTGTACAGGTCTATAGTTGTATAGGTCTATAGTTGTACAGGTCTAAAGTTGTATAGGTCTATAGTTGCATAGGTCTATAGTTGTATAGGTATATAGTTGTACAGGTCTATAGTTGTATAGGTCTATAGTTGTACAGGTCTATAGTTGTATGGGTCTATAGTTGTACAGGTCTATAATTGTATGGGTCTATAGTTGTATAGGTCTATAGTTGTACAGGTCTATAGTTGTATAGGCCTATAGTTGCATAGGTCTATAGTTGTATAGGTCTATAGTTGCATAGGTCTATAGTTGTATAGGCCTATAGTTGTATAGGTCTAAAGGTCTATAGTTGTACAGGTCTATAGTTGCATAGGCCTATAGTTTTATAGGTCTATAGTAGCATAGGTCTATAGGTCTATAGTTGTATCAGTCTATGGCTGTACAGTTGTACAGGTCTATAGTTGTATAGGTCTATAGTTGCATAGGTCTACAGTTGTACAGGTCTATAGTTGTACAGGTCTATAGTTGTACAGGTCTATAGTTGTACAGGTCTACAGTTGTACAGGTCTATAGTTGTATAGGTCTATAGTTGCACAGGTCTAAAGTTGTATAGGTCTATAGTTGCATAGGTCTATAGTTGTATAGGTCTATAGTTGTACAGGTCTATAGTTGTATAGGTATATAGTTGTATAGGTCTATAGTTGTACAGGTCTATAGTTGTACAGGTCTATAGTTGTATAGGTCTATAGTTGTACAGGTCTATAGTTGTATGGGTCTATAGTTGTACAGGTCTACAGTTGTACAGGTCTACAGTTGTACAGGTCTATAGTTGTACAGGTCTAAAGTTGTATAGGTCTTTAGTTGTACAGGTCTATAGTTGTATAGGTCTATAGTTGTATAGGTCTATAAGTGTACAGGTCTATAGTTGTACTGGTCTATAGTTGTACGGGTCTATAGTTGTATAGGTCTATAGTTGTACAGGTCTATAGTTGTACAGGTCTATAGTTGTACAGGTCTATAGTTGTACAGGTCTATAGCTGTATAGGTCTATAGTTGTACAGGTCTATAGTTGTAAAGGTCTATAGTTGTATAGGTCTATAGTTGTACAGGTCTATAGTTGTATAGGTCTATAGTTGTATAGGTCTATAGTTGTATAGGTCTATAGTTGTACAGGTCTATAGTTGTATATGTCTATAGTTGTACAGGTCTATAGTTGTACAGGTCTATAGTTGTATAGGTCTATAGTTGTACAGGTCTATAGTTGTACAGGTCTATAGTTGTATAGGTCTATAGTTGTATAGGTCTATAGTTGTACAGGTCTATAGTTGTATAGGTCTATAGTTGTATAGGTCTATAGTTGTATAGGTCAATAGTTGTACAGGTCTATAGTTGTATAGGTCTATAGTTGTATAGGTCTATAGTTGTATAAGCATATAGGTCTGCATGGAGTCCAGGTCCTACTGCTGTCCCCACACTCAGGTGGACACAAGTGGATTGGGTAGTGATAACAGGTGACCTGACTAACTGTAGTAATAATCAATATCACCTAGAATGATATATACTTTTCAAAAATAGTAGAAGAAAGATAAGTGATGACGACGAACATCCTTTGCAAGAACATTTATGTATGGAAAACTCAGCAACCAAACACATTCTACAGTTTGCACGTGCCACACACCTGCCTAGGGTGTCAATACGATTTTGACACTTTCAAGGAAGGTCAATTAATGTCTGTGGACCATTATTTCTGTCAATTGTATTGACTCCGGTTATCATTCAGTCATGGCTTACTTGATAATATTCCTTGTTTGTGTATGCACCAGCATTGATGCGTGCTATTGGCATGCTGGAAACTGGCAGAAGTGAGCATGCAGTGGCCAAAATGCTCAATGTATCACAGTCTGTGATTAGCAGACTATGGAACAGGTACCAACAAAACCAAAATCTATTGATCTGAAACCAGGTTCTACCAAATGGAGCTTAAATGATAATTCAAATTGCTGCTACTGGAGTACAAGTTACGAGTCAAATGATAAGAACTCGTCTACATGCAGCTCATCTCCATGCTCGACGTCTACGTGTTGTGACACCCCATACAAAACATTATATTGCCAACAAACGCCATTGGTGTACACAAGGTCGAAACTGGGGTAATCATTGATGGTCACGTGTCATGTTTTTCCGATAAGTCCCAATTCACTTTGCACATCTTCAAAAAGCCTGGTCGTGTCTGGCAAAATGAATGTCAAGCTCAGGCCTCCTGACAGTTCGGCAGTGAATCAGTTGTGTGGGGTGGCATCACTATGGCTGACTGAACCTCACTCCATATTGCGCAAGGACAGTACTGTGGGAACTACAGACTGACACCTGTGTTGTCCCATTGGCAAGGTGTGTAGGTCGACGTTTTCTCCACTATTTTCTTTCAAGGTTGTTGGAAGTTATAACATTTACTGTCATATTTCACTTCACTTGTTGAAATGTGTTCCCAATTTGTTCATTATTATCATATAACTATTACTAGAAACTGAAATCTCTTACAATTTTGGAAAGTTGTTTCTGAGTATCACCTACTTTTTTAAGTGTATACATTGTAACATTTGTAACAAACAGAGCAGGAATTCAGTTACTACACGTCCTGAAGGAGATGGCAGGTGTTTACCGTATCACTGGAACCTAGAAGCATGTATCGGGACAACAATTACATTAATTGTCTCTACAGACAGTCTTGTCACAGTGACATCACATGATTGTGCTCAAGTTGGGATGATACAGGTCCTACATCAAATAGGACCTGAAATAAATAATAAAACAAACTATAAACAAAATTTGACCTTGCACCTGTAGTCACATTAAAGACAAAACGCATCAAAGGCCAACTTGACTTACAGTTGGGCTTGTTTCTCCAGACAGTAGAGAGAACAGCCAGGCAGTCCACATTCTCCTCCACCAGGGCAGTCAGCAGAGTCTCTGTCCTTGGCTGCAGTCTACATGCAACACACAATGATGGCTTCATGTTTATGCTATTGATATAGTTTTGAGGGATGAACAAGTGCAGAGTTAGTGGATGCTACAGAGAGTTAGTGGGTGGTAGAGTGGTGGGTGGTAGAGTGAGTTAGTGGGTGTTAGAGTGGTGGCCGGATGGTAGAGAGAGTTAGTGTATGCTAGAAAGAGTTAGTGGGTGGTAGGGTGAGTAAGTGGGTGGTAGGGTGAGTTAGTGATCAGTAGAGTGAGTTAGAGGAGGCTAGAGTGAGTAAGTGGGTGGTAGAGTGAGTTAGTGCATGGTAGAGTGAGTTAGTGGATGCTAGAGTCAGTTAGTGGGTGGTAGAGAGAGTTAGTTGTTCATAGAGAGAGTTAGTTGTTCATAGAGAGAATTAGTGTATGCCAGAGTTAGTGGGTGGTAGAGTGGTGGGTGGTAGAGTGAGTTAGTGGGTGGTAGAGTGGTGGGGTGTAGAGAGAGTTAGTGGGTGGTAGAGTGAGTTAGTGGGTGGTAGAGTGGTGGGGTGTAGAGAGAGTTAGTGGGTGTTAGAGTGAGTTAGTGGGTGGTAGAGTGAGTTGGTGGGTGTTAGTTGGTGGGTGTTAGAGTGGTGGGTGTTAGAGAGAGTTAGTTGTTCATAGAGAGAGTTAGTGGGTGATAGAGTCAGTTAGTGGGTGGTAGAGAGAGTTAGGTGGTGGTAGAGAGAGTAAGTGTATGCTAGAGTCAGTTAGTGGGTGGTAGAGTGAGTTAGTGGGTGGTAGTGTGAGTTAGTGGGTGGTAGAGTGAGTTAGTTGGTGGTAGAGTGAGTAAGTGGATGCTAGAGTCAGTTAGTGGATGCTAGAGTGAGTTAGTGGGTGGTAGAGTGAGTTAGTGGTTAGTGTGAGTTAGTGGATGCTAGAGTCAGTTAGTGGGTGGTAGAGTGAGTTAGTGGGTGGTAGAGTGGTGCATGGTAGAGTGAGTTAGTGGGTGGTAGAGTGGTGGGTGGTAGAGTGAGTTAGCTGTTCATAGAGAGAGTTGGTGGTAGAGAGAGTAAGTGTATGCTAGAGTCAGTTAGTGGGTGGTAGAGTGAGTTAGTGGCTAGTAGAGTGAGTTGATTGGTGGTATAGTTAGTTAGTGGGTGGTAGAGTGAGTTAGTGGGTGGTAGGATGAGTTAGTGGGTGCTAGAGTCAGTTAGTGGGTGGTAGAGTGGTTGGTGGTAGAGTGAGTTAGTGGGTGGTAGAGTGAGTGAGTGGGTGGTAGAGTGAGTGACTGGTTAGTGTGAGTTAGTGGATGCTAGAGTGAGTTATTGGGTGGTAGGATGAGTTAGTGGGTGGTAGAGTTAGTCGGTGGTAGGGTGAGTTAGTGGGTGGTAGAGTGAGTTGATGGGTGGGAGAGTTAGTGGGTGGTAGGGTGAGTTAGTGGGTGGTAGGGTGAGTTAGTGGGTGGTAGAGTTAGTGGGTGGTAGGGTGAGTTAGTGGGTGGTAGAGTTAGTGGGTGGTAGGGTGAGTTAGTGGGTGGTAGAGTTAGTGGGTGGTAGGGTGAGTTAGTGGGTGGTAGAGTTAGTGGGTGGTAGGGTGAGTTAGTGGGTGGTAGAGTTAGTGGGTGGTAGGGTGAGTTAGTGGGTGGTAGAGTTAGTGGGTGGTAGAGTTAGTGGGTGGTAGGGTGAGTTAGTGGGTGGGAGAGTGGTGGGTGGTAGAGTTAGTGGGTGGTAGAGTTAGTGGGTGGTAGGGTGAGTTAGTGGGTGGTAGAGTTAGTGGGTGGTAGAGTGAGTTAGTGGGTGGTAGAGTGAGTTGATGGGTGGGAGAGTGGTGGGTGGTAGAGTTAGTGGGTGGAAGAGTTAGTGGGTGGTAGAGTTAGTGGGTGGTAGAGTGAGTTAGTGGGTGGTAGAGTGAGTTGATGGGTGGGAGAGTGGTGGGTGGTAGGGTGAGTTAGTGGGTGGTAGGGTGAGTTAGTGGGTGGTAGGGTGAGTTAGTGGGTGGTAGGGTGAGTTAGTGGATGGTAGAGTTAGTGGGTGGTAGAGTGAGTTAGTGGGTGGTAGGGTGAGTTAGTGGGTGGTAGAGTTAGTGGGTGGTAGGGTGAGTTAGTGGGTGGTAGAGTTAGTGGGTGGTAGAGTGAGTTAGTGGGTGGTAGGGTGAGTTAGTGGGTGCTAGGGTGAGTTGATGGTCGGTAGAGTGAGTTAGTTGGTGGTAGAGAGAGTAAGTGGATGCTAGAGTCAGTTAGTGGCTGGTAGAGAGAGTTAGTTGTTTTGTAGAGAGAGTTAGTGGCTCGTAGGGTGAGTTATTGGGTGGTATGGTGAGCTAGTGGGTTTGTAGAGTGAGTTGATGGGTGGTAGAGTGGTGGGTGGTAGAGTGAGTAAGTGGGTGGTAGGGTGAGATAGTGGGTGGTAGGGTGAGATAGTGGGTGGTAGGGTGAGCTAGTGGGTTTGTAGAGTGAGTTTATGGGTGGTAGAATGGTGGGTGGTAGTGTGAGTTAGTGGGTGATAGGGTGAGATAGTGGGTGGTAGAGTGAGTTAGTGGGTGATAGAGTGAGTTAGTGGCTAGTAGAGTGAGTTGATTGGTGGTATAGTTAGTTAGTGGGTGGTAGAGTGAGTTAGTGGGTGGTAGGATGAGTTAGTGGGTGCTAGAGTCAGTTAGTGGGTGGTAGAGTGGTTGGTGGTAGAGTGAGTTAGTGGATGGTAGAGTGAGTGAGTGGGTGGTAGAGTGAGTGACTGGTTAGTGTGAGTTAGTGGATGCTAGAGTGAGTTATTGGGTGGTAGGATGAGTTAGTGGGTGGTAGAGTTAGTGGGTGGTAGGGTGAGTTAGTGGGTGGTAGAGTGAGTTGATGGGTGGGAGAGTTAGTGGGTGGTAGGGTGAGTTAGTGGGTGGTAGGGTGAGTTAGTGGGTGGTAGGGTGAGTTAGTGGGTGGTAGGGTGAGTTAGTGGGTGGTAGAGTTAGTGGGTGGTAGGGTGAGTTAGTGGGTGGTAGAGTTAGTGGGTGGTAGGGTGAGTTAGTGGGTGGTAGAGTTAGTGGGTGGTAGGGTGAGTTAGTGGGTGGGAGAGTGGTGGGTGGTAGAGTTAGTGGGTGGTAGAGTTAGTGGGTGGTAGAGTTAGTGGGTGGTAGAGTGAGTTGATGGGTGGGAGAGTGGTGGGTGGTAGAGTTAGTGGGTGGTAGGGTGAGTTAGTGGGTGGTAGGGTGAGTAAGTGGGTGGTAGAGTTAGTGGGTGGTAGGGTGAGTTTGTGGGTGGTAGAGTTAGTGGGTGGTAGAGTGAGTTAGTGGGTGGTAGGGTGAGTTAGTGGGTGGTAGAGTTAGTGGGTGGTAGGGTGAGTTAGTGGGTGGTAGAGTGAGTTAGTGGGTGGTAGGGTGAGTTAGTGGGTGGTAGAGTTAGTGGGTGGTAGAGTGAGTTAGTGGGTGGTAGGGTGAGTTAGTGGGTGCTAGGGTGAGTTGATGGTCGGTAGAGTGAGTTAGTTGGTGGTAGAGAGAGTAAGTGGATGCTAGAGTCAGTTAGTGGCTGGTAGAGAGAGTTAGTTGTTTTGTAGAGAGAGTTAGTGGCTCGTAGGGTGAGTTATTGGGTGGTATGGTGAGCTAGTGGGTTTGTAGAGTGAGTTGATGGGTGGTAGAGTGGTGGGTGGTAGAGTGAGTAAGTGGGTGGTAGGGTGAGATAGTGGGTGATAGGGTGAGATAGTGGGTGGTAGGGTGAGCTAGTGGGTTTGTAGAGTGAGTTTATGGGTGGTAGAATGGTGGGTGGTAGTGTGAGTTAGTGGGTGATAGGGTGAGATAGTGGGTGGTAGGGTGAGCTAGTGGGTTTGTAGAGTGAATTGATGGGTGGTAGAGTGGTGGGTGGTATTGTGAGTTAGTGGGTGGTAGGGTGAGATAGTGGGTGGTAGAGTGAGTTAGTGGGTCATGAAGAGAGTTTGTCGGTGCTGGGGTGAGTTAGTGGGTGGTAAAGTTAGTTAGTGGGTGGTAGGGTGAGCTAGTGGGTTTGTAGAGTGAATTGATGGGTGGTAGAGTGGTGGGTGGTATTGTGAGTTAGTGGGTGGTAGGGTGAGATAGTGGGTGGTAGAGTGAGTTAGTGGGTCATGAAGAGAGTTTGTCGGTGCTGGGGTGAGTTAGTGGGTGGTAGAGTGAGTTAGTTGGTGGTAGGGTGAGATAGTGGGTGGTAGAGTGAGTTAGTGGGTCATGAAGAGTGTTTGTCGGTGCTCGGGTGAGTTAGTGGGTGGTAGAGTGAGTTAGTGGGTGGTAGAGTGAAGTAGGCTAACAAGTGAGTGAGTGAGTAATTGAGTGTTCTATGTCACTGTCAGACACGTTACAGCTCCATCAAGACAGCTTGTAAATAAGTCATGGCTGAGTCAGGCAACCCCGGGGTCTATAGCACCTTGTTGGGACATTTCATAGGAGAGGAATCCCCACAAGGACATCAGAACACCATTTCTACTGAGCTGCATCTCCCACTTGACTAATGTCATCTGAAAGTCATCATGATAACAAGGGGCAAGTGGGATCAAATATAGAACACGCAATTCCACTGGTGAATTCACATTGTATCCTGACCTGGCCCAGGACTTCACCATGGTAGAGGGTGTGGACAGCAGTGTGGGGATGAACTGCTTGAACATCGGCACCACCTGACCCTCCAACAAGAAGCGGGCAAACCACTTGTAGCGGTCAAGGCCCACGGGGTAAGGTAGCGGCACAGCCGGCACTGGCCAGGTGACTCGACCTGTGGACCAACAGAGAGACAGGTTAGTCTGGATGAGTCATAGAGGGCTTCCGTCACAACATGATCCACTTACCACACGTGCTGAAAATAGTTAGAGAGTAAGCAATGAGCTGCAAGGAAACAGATTACCCAGTCATGAATGGTGGTTCCTGTTTTGACTTCAAGGGACAGATAATCTGTAGTTTATGTACACATACACCATATCGCGACAACCTGGAAACACATTCATAATAAAGTCATCATCACACAAACCAGTGGTTGACAGTAAGAGCAAACAATGTTTCTATCAGCCAAGTTACTTTGACTGACATAGTCAACTCTTGAATAAGCAGTGTTGAGTTGCATCCCTTGGTGTGCTAGGATCCTGTCATCATTGGTTGGATTCCCACATTTTCCTGATCATGTGCACTATGCCCGTTTTGGTTTCACCAAAGTGGTCAACATACAGGACCTATGTTTATTTCCTCCCACATGAAGCTGACACACCATGATGTAAATGAAATACTGTTTTCAAAGTAGTGCAGATCAGGGCCCACCTGTCACTCACTTCCCTCAACACTGACTTGGTGCCAAGATGGCTTTGTGCAAGTGGGTGTGAGTTTGTTCTGATTGAAACCTAGTTCCAACTCCAAATCATGTACTAACACATACTGCATTAAATCAAAGCTGGCTAAGCTGTCATCAATCAATCATCAGACATATGATGATCAGGAAGAAACCAGTAATTCTGAGGAAGTGCCAGTTGATCTGTCACAAGTTTGCCTGTCAAGTGAGGGCCTCCGAAACTTAACAAGTTACAAGAATATAAGAAGTTGTTATCCACAAAAAAGTGTCATGTATTCAACCATGCACCTCACATTTTCCATGACTGGCATTTGGAAATTATGTATCATGATATGATATCAGCAATGGCCTATCAGGTTTTCTGAAAGGCCCATATGTTGAGGGAAAAATGGACCATGGGGCCCACCTTTGTTCCAGTCCAGAAGGGACATGTATACCTGCCTGTATAAAATGTTATGAAATACTCTGTGACACATGTCTTTTACGTATTGTATTAATCATGTTTTTGTTAATTCGCCGATGAGATTCTTATGTTGCAAGACAAATGTCCAATGGGATAATACAGTCTATCTCATCTTACACACATCCCCATCCCATCCCAATCCCAAGTTGTGTTTGTATAGATTCAACACTGCCACATGCTACAGCAAAACCTGACAAATCATTGCCCAAGCAAACAAAACACAATTTATTTACTTATACACATGTAAAAACAGATACTGTTTCTTTAGTGTCATGTTGGTCAGCTTACCATAGCTGCTTGTCATGTGACAGAAGACCTCCCCCAACGCAGCGTTGTAGTGGGGTGGAGGGTCCTCCTGGGGCTTGGAGAACACACAGTAGGAGGGGGCGAACACAGGCAGCCACTCAGCCTCAACTGTCACCACACCTGCACAGGTACAGTCAGTGAATGTTGGGGACCATTGAAACATATTGAGCAAGGTTGAAGTGGAAATCACTGTACTGAAACAAATCTTGTATCAAAAGCCTTAATGACACATCCATCACATTTGTTGTCTGAGATTTTAACCACTGATCACCACTAGGGGGCTGGAAAAAACAGCTCCTGCAAAATGATATTGGCAATTTGATGGCTGCAAAACATTCACCTGGGTTTGGATGTTGAAAGGATATAAATACACTGAGTAATGTTTTGAGATTAAGATTCACCCTTCATGTAAATTCTGGAGGTTTCATGAATGTGCTGGTAGACGATGAACTCAGGGCGCTGCTTGAAGAGGACGGACGTTGGATGGATATAGACTGGATCCTCGAGCTCCATGCACTGAAACATACAGGCACATTGCTTTGCTTGTCATTTAGTATGAGCAACTACCCACTTCATTAGGGCTGATAACATGTATCAACTCAAATAATAAAGTTGCCTATCATCACAATTAAACAAAGGTAAATATACTTGTCCACAAGACAAACATACAGGTCCACAAGACAAACATACTGGTCCACAAGACAAATATACTGGTCCACAAGACAAACATACTGGTCCACAAGACAAACATACTGGTCCACAAGACAAATATACTGGTCCACAAGACAAACATACTGGTCCACAAGACAAACATACTGGTCCACAAGACAAATATACTGGTCCACAAGACAAACATACTGGTCCACAAGACAAACATACTTGTCCACAAGACAAATATACTGGTCCACAAGACAAACATACTGGTCCACAAGACAAACATACTGGTCCACAAGACAAACATACAGGTCCACAAGACAAACATACTTGTCCACAAGACAAATATACTTGTCCACAAGACAAACATACAGGTCCACAAGACAAACATACTTGTCCACAAGACAAATATACTTGTCCACAAGACAAACATACTGGTCCACAAGACAAACATACTGGTCCACAAGACAAATATACTGGTCCACAAGACAAACATACTGGTCCACAAGACAAACATACTGGTCCACAAGACAAACATACTTGTCCACAAGACAAATATACTGGTCCACAAGACAAATATACTGGTCCACAAGACAAACATACTTGTCCACAAGACAAACATACTTGTCCACAAGACAAACATACTTGTCCACAAGACAAATATACTGGTCCACAAGACAAACATACTGGTCCACAAGACAAACATACTGGTCCACAAGACAAACATACTTGTCCACAAGACAAACATACTGGTCCACAAGACAAATATACTGGTCCACAAGACAAATATACTGGTCCACAAGACAAACATACTTGTCCACAAGACAAACATACTTGTCCACAAGACAAATATACTGGTCCACAAGACAAACATACTTGTCCACAAGACAAACATACTTGTCCACAAGACAAACATACTTGTCCACAAGACAAACATACTGGTCCACAAGACAAATATACTGGTCCACAAGACAAATATACTGGTCCACAAGACAAATATACAGGTCCACAAGACAAACATACAGGTCCACAAGACAAACATACTTGTCCACAAGACAAACATACTGGTCCACAAGACAAACATACTGGTCCACAAGACAAACATACTTGTCCACAAGACAAACATACTGGTCCACAAGACAAACATACTGGTCCACAAGACAAACATACTGGTCCACAAGACAAACATACTTGTCCACAAGACAAACATACTTGTCCACAAGACAAACATACTTGTCCACAAGACAAACATACTGGTCCACAAGACAAACATACTGGTCCACAAGACAAACATACTTGTCCACAAGACAAACATACTGGTCCACAAGACAAACATACTGGTCCACAAGACAAACATACTTGTCCACAAGACAAACATACTGGTCCACAAGACAAACATACAGGTCCACAAGACAAATATACTGGTCCACAAGACAAACATACTGGTCCAAAAGACAAATATACTGGTCCACAAGACAAACATACTGGTCCACAAGACAAACATACAGGTCCACAAGACAAATATACTGGTCCACAAGACAAACATACTGGTCCACAAGACAAACATACTGGTCCACAAGACAAATATACTGGTCCACAAGACAAATATACTTGTCCACAAGACAAACATACTGGTCCACAAGACAAACATACTTGTCCACAAGACAAACATACTTGTCGACAAGACAAATATACTGGTCCACAAGACAAACATACTGGTCCACAAGACAAATATACTGGTCCACAAGACAAACATACTGGTCCACAAGACAAATATACAGGTCCACAAGACAAATATACTGGTCCACAAGACAAACATACAGGTCCACAAGACAAATATACTGGTCCACAAGACAAATATACTGGTCCACAAGACAAACATACTGGTCCACAAGACAAACATACTGGTCCACAAGACAAACATACAGGTCCACAAGACAAATATACTGGTCCACAAGACAAATATGCAGGTTCACAAGACAAACATACTTGTCGACAAGACAAACATACTGGTCCACAAGACAAATATACTGGTCCACAAGACAAACATACTGGTCCACAAGACAAATATACTGGTCCACAAGACAAACATACTGGTCCACAAGACAAATATACTGGTCCACAAGACAAACATACAGGTTCACAAGACAAATATACTGGTCCACAAGACAAACATACTGGTCCACAAGACAAATATACTGGTCCACAAGACAAACATACTGGTCCACAAGACAAATATACTGGTCCACAAGACAAACATACTTGTCCACAAGACAAACATACTTGTCCACAAGACAAATATACTGGTCCACAAGACAAATATGCAGGTTCACAAGACAAATATACTGGCCCTGTGATGGAGGGACAGAAAGCAGTGTTGTAGAGCTGTGTAATGGAGGGACAGGAAGCAGTGTTGTAGAGCTGTGTAATGAAGGGACAGGAATCAGTGTTGTTGGCCTGTGTAATGAAGGGACAGGAAGCAGTGTTGTAGAGTTGTGTAATGAAGGGAAAGGAAGCAGTGTTGTAGAGTTGTGTAATAAAGGGACAGGAAGCAGTGTTGTTGACCTGTGTAATGAAGGGACAGGAAGCAGTGTTGTAGAGTTGTGTAATGAAGGGACAGGAAGCTGTGTGGTTGACCTGTGTAATGAAGGGACAGGAAGCAGTGTTGTAGAGTTGTGTAAAGAAGGATAAGGAAGCAGTGTTCTAGAGTTGTGTAATGAAGGGACAGGAAGCAGTGTTGTAGAGCTGTGTAATGAAGGGACAGGAAGCAGTGTTGTAGAGTTGTGTAATGAAGGGACAGGAAGCAGTGTTGTTGAGTTGTGTAATGAAGGGACAGGAAGCAGTGTTGTTGACCTGTGTAATGAAAACAATGTTGCATGAAGTGTGGCAGATTCCTATGGGACTAGTGGTTTCTATGGCACTGGTTTTATGAAATCCATAAACTGCCATCTTGATGTTAGTCTGCATACCCGAGCAATAACAACTGGGATGAGTGAGTGAGTGAGTATGGTTTTACGCCGTTTTTAGCAATATTCCAGCAATATCACGGTGGGGGAAACCGGAAATAGGCTTCAAACCCACACACATCCTGGATGAAGATGATAGAGGTGACTAGCATGGAACATGAATGTACAACTTAACAACCATCAGTATATTTTTCAGTGAATTATGTATTTTGATATAATTGAAAGTAACCATCAATGTTAACTATTGATAATTTTGTAGAATTTTCCTATTCGGAATATTCTATAAGTAATATGTTACCACTGTTATACAGAGGCTGTTGTCTCCCACAACTGCTGCTATAGCGAAATCTACCACAGAGATCTCAATTACCTCATGCAGCACGTGCGTAGCCACCTAGCTGCCATGTGACACCCTTCACTCTTGTCTCTTGCGAGAGCAAGTGCTCGGGGGACGGACGGGCGGGCAGCAGCCCAGTGGTAACGTATTACTTATAGAATATTCCTAATAGGAAAATTCTACAAATTACATTAAGTAATACGTTACCACTGTTATACCGAGGCTGACTACCACAGTAGGCGGTGGGGAGCACCTACAACCCGAATCCTGACTGCTAGCGTTCCTTCCGACCAGCGGAAGTAAACACCAAGGCGGAAGCACTCGATGCGCATGCACCTAGCTAGGCGTTACCCTATAGGAATACCAAAGCACTGTCAAGCGCATACCGTAAGGCTCAATCGTCATTGCCAAAACGATTGGTGACTCCAAACGGCCCCACTGGATAGGTATTTCATCGCCGCAGCGGATGAGAACACTGTATCCGCGTGAGCTTAATCTTAGATCAGGTTAAACAGTCGAAAAGAGGGAAATTAATTTCATTCAGACCGTATATCCCAGAGCAAGCCTACTTAAAGTATGCATTAGGCGCGTGACCTAATTCCAGTATTTGTAAGCATGCATCACAAGGTTGGGATACACGACAGACAATTAAATACATAATTGTCAAAATACAAATAAGGACAAAGCACACAAAAAGCTGCCCTCACCTGTGGTGTGAGTGCGCTGGTTTGCGGGACCCCAACTCCTGTACCCACGGCAGTGGGAACATTGGAGTCGACCCAGATTGACCACCGTGCAAGGTCTGACGCCTGAGGAGTTCGGAATTGCGCTGGGCACACCCCTTAGGTGCTCGCTTGCGCCGCGATCCGCGGGCCAAGACGGTGCACACTCTCCACGACGGCATCAGCGACCTGTTTGAGGTAATGATTGGCAAAAACCGAGTTAGAACGCCAGTAACAACCTCGTAATATTCTGCGAACAGAGATATTCGAGTGTAGGGCAAATGTGGCCGCTAGCGCCCTGATCTCGTGCAGGTTTGACCCCTCTACCGGTAACCCCCGAGACCAGTACGCCAGATTGATGACAGAACGAAGCCACAACGCAATCGAGTTGCGAGTTATGTCAACCGTGCGATTAGGGTTACACGATATGAACAGACAGTCACGCCCTTGTCTACGTTCATTCGAAGCCTTAAGATAATACTTAAGGGCCCTAACCGGACACAGCGCTTTGTCCTCAGTATCAGCAGGATGTAAGATTTCTTTGAGTGATCTTACAGTGAATTCTCTCTCCGTTTGCCTGATTCTCTGATTCTTGGCGACGAAGCCCATGAGCAGGCCCAGGCGGACAGGAAGCAGTGTTGTTGACCTGTGTAATGAAGGGACAGGAAGCAGTGTTGTAGAGTTGTGTAAAGAAGGATAAGGAAGCAGTGTTCTAGAGTTGTGTAATGAAGGGACAGGAAGCAGTGTTGTAGAGCTGTGTAATGAAGGGACAGGAAGCAGTGTTGTAGAGTTGTGTAATGAAGGGACAGGAAGCAGTGTTGTTGAGCTGAGTTGTGA